TCTCTAATATCTTTTCGCTGGAGTGATTTACAGCCAGCCACATAAAGGTACACTCCAGCGATCCACTGCCTTCCTCCCTTTCTTTTTCCTATTGTTTCCAAGCCCCTCATCCGCCCGCGGCCCCCCCCCCACATCTTGTCAAGCAGATCTGTAGCTCTAAAGTCGATGTGGTCGGGTTGGGCTTCTTTCTTTCTTTCTTTCTTAAGAGTAGGGAGTGACAGATGGTGGGCCCGCTTTCCCCAGGGAGCGAGATCTCCCTACACGCGAGCGCATGTCAATCAACGCAGCTCATGTGATAACTCCAGCGGATGACGTGCCAGCCATATGGTCTGGCATCAGAGTTGGTACCCCTCTGCCTGCTTGAAGCGTGCCACTTCCCTCCTCCTTTTGGATAAGACACTGAAGGAGACGGGGTGGACCTCAAGGAGTCTCTTTCCTCCTTTTTCCCCCCTTAATTTCCCCCCTCTTTACTCCCAAAAGATGCGGGATACGAGGACTTGAGGATTCCTTCGCTCAGCTTTGGAGGTAAGTTATGTAAGGAAGGAAGGAAGGGGAGCAGAAACTTAAACACGGGGTCGCAACTTGCTTCCCCCACCCCTCCGTCCACCTTCTGAGATTTGTCACCCTCCAGACCGTATCTCTTTCCCCCCCCTCCAAACCCCTCCAGCCCCGATTCTTTTGCCCACACAATTTATTTGTAGCTTTGGAGAAGAATAGATGGGGCGCGGGAGGAATGTACGTGAAGTGATGGGGAAGAGCAATCTCTCCGCAAGATTTTTATAGATCCAAAATCGCTCATGTAGCAAAGACCGTTTGGTACCATGGTTTTTAATTTTTTTAAACGGGGGTGGGGGAAAACCCACCAGTTTTCGGCAGACTACGTGGACCATTTAAATACCTCCTTTTTAAAAAAAAAAACCCTTTTAGTATTTTTATAAAGATATAAACAGATGAGCTGGTAATATATTCTTTTCTAATTATGTCTCTAAAAACAACAGACGGGTCTCTCTCTCTCTCTTTTTTTTAAAGAGCTGGAAGAATAGGGTTATCAGGCAATCGGATCTATCGCGTTTACAGAGGGAGAAAGACCCCCTGTTATTCTAATTTCATCTATTAAGCGGTTTATTTTAGCCAAAGGGGTTTTTTTGTTTTTGTTTTTTGGAGGGGGCGTTTGCCGGTGCGCTTTTTCCCTTCCCCTGTCGCCGCTTTGTTCCCCCCCCCCAATAAGACAAAATGAAATTACAGCAAAGCCTCTTCGCACACACAAAATTGGCAAAGGATCCGCTGTTTTTTCGGCAGCTCTGGATTCTCCTAAGGAAATAGTCTTGGGTCCGTATGGGTTCCGTGAGGGAACTGTAACAGAGGGGAAGGCGGTGGCGGAGGGGAGGCAGACAGAAAGAGAGGGAGGGATTGATCGGTTTGAATGGGGAAATCTGGCCATTTCCCCCCCCCCCGAACTACGTCGAAGATCTCCCAAAGCAAAAAAGATTTGATTTGTAAATTAAGTGTCACGCTCAAAGTAGTAGCAGTGTGCTCGGCTGTACGTGTGAATCCTATTCTCCTTACCTGAAAGGAAATGCCGTAGAAAGAAGCAAAAAATAAAATAAAAAATAAAAAATAGGAGTAACGCAGAAAGAAATGGGGAGAAAATAAAAAGGGAAACAAGTAAGAAGTTAACTGGGCTTCGATCGGAATGTGATGGAGGGACGCCACGATCCCGCTGATGATCGCGGTGATTTCGTGCGCTTGAAGGGAGAAAGTTCAAAATTCTGATATTTAACACTAATTTTAATGGTAGGTTTTCCGAACAGCGGCAGTCGCTGGTTCAGGCTTTAGGAGGGAGGGGGTTGGAAGGGAGGGGAAGGTGACAGGAGAGAAAAGTTGAAAGAGGTTTTGTTTTGGTATTCTCGAGATCTCGGGCCTCAGAGCTCTCCCCCGAATAAGCACAACTTGGCTGCCTAGAAGACCTCAATCAAGCACGTCTGTCGGGTGAAAGATTTAGCGTGCCCGTAAAATCCCGTGGAAGCGGCTCCAAGCGCCGAACATTTAAAGAGAGGAACCCGTAAAAACGCAGCCGGGCAGGCACAAAAAGGAAAAGGAAAAAAAAAAAGGAGATAACTCTCCGTTGCCTCTCAGCCACAAAACATGAATCCAAAAAAAGGTGGGGTGGAAGATATCTATAATAAGCTGGGATCGATCAGACACTTCAAGCCCAGCTTTGCACCAATTCATTAGGAAAGCAACGGAGACACCAATTAATTTTAATCGCGCTTTTAAACGAGTCAATTGCTTTTATGGAGGGAGGGAAACATATTTCAAGCCAGTTCTAAGCAAATCTCTTCCTCCTCGCCCAGCCTTAGGAAACCTGTGTGTTTGAGAGAGAGCGCGGTTGCGTGTGTCATATTTATTTGGATGCATATTATTCGCACTGAATAACCCGCTCTTTCAAAATCTAGGGTGGGCGGCCAGAGCAGGGGAAAAAGAGGGAAGAACCTCTTTAGTTGTCTGGGGCTGAACGGTAAGGAGGGGAAATCTGTCGGGATTTGGGGCAAGATCTCTGCTGCAAATCGTTCCGGGGGACAGGAGGAAACTGTTCAGGAAAGAGGTGAAGCTAAAATGTGGAAAGGTTTTACTCTAGTGATTTTTGGGGTTGGGGGGGGAAGCCTGGGAGTAAGAAGGTTGAGGAGAGATGGCCAGAAAGGTTACGGGAGGAGGGGGGAGGGTGAAGGGCGGGGAAAGGCCCGAAATCTCTGGACTTTGGAAATAGCCGATGGGACTGTTAGGGAACCGGGCGCGCGTAGATGGGCCGGAATGGCCACGGCTTGGTTGGGATTTAAAATAACAGAGGCATCCGATAAAAGTGGAAGCAGTGGAACTTGGAGGCACGTCCGAGCGCCAGCCTGGCATTTCGGAAGGGATGGGCTTCCAAAGGATGGAGTCTTTACTTGCTTCTCCTCCCCTCCCCTTCCTTCTTTCCCTCTCCTCCCCCCACCCGGAAGAGCTCCTTTGCAAGGGGGAGACATCTCTCCCCCCCCCAGGGTTCACATTTTGGGGAGGAGGTGGGTTTTCTCTCCCAGCTTCTTGAATAATGAAAGCCCTGTGCAAGGCTGGAATGCGCAGGAAACGGGTGGATGTCGGGGCTTGGACTAGCCAGCCGGCCGAAATATCTGGGGGACAAGGGGGGCCGCTCTGAGGGTCGGGGCTAGCCGAATAGAGGGCGGTTGAGGCCGGTGGTGTTGCCCTGGGATAGAAACGTGAGTCCTTATTTCTTGTTTCCCTTCTTCTGCCCTCCGACCCCTCCTGGCCTCCCCCGTCCTTTCCCGCCGCCTCCCCCCCCCGCCTCCGGTGTCCCCCCTTCTCCAGCCACCATGTTGACGCGCCTCTTCAGCGAGCCCAGCCTGATCCCCGAAGTCCAGAAATTCTCCAGCTGGGCGGACGACTGCGAAGACGACGAGGCGAGCGACAAAGAGGAGCGGAAGTCCAAGAGCTGCCCGCTCCAGGATGAGTCCAACGACGGGGAAGTCAAAGAGGAGAACGACTTAGCGGGCGATGACGAGGAAGAGGAGGAGGAGGAGGAAGGCGTCGAGGAGGCCGAAGGGGACCGGCCCAAGAAACGCGGCCCCAAGAAAAGGAAGATGACCAAGGCCCGGCTGGAGCGCTCCAAACTCCGGCGCCAGAAGGCCAACGCCCGGGAGCGCAACCGCATGCACGACCTCAACGCGGCCTTGGACAACCTCCGCAAAGTGGTGCCCTGTTACTCCAAGACGCAGAAACTCTCCAAGATCGAGACCTTGCGGCTGGCTAAGAACTACATCTGGGCCCTGTCCGAGATCCTGCGCTCGGGCAAGAGGCCGGACTTGGTCTCCTACGTGCAGACTCTGTGCAAAGGCTTGTCCCAGCCCACCACCAACTTGGTGGCCGGCTGCCTCCAGCTCAACTCGAGGAATTTCCTCACCGAGCAAGGCCAGGAGGCCGGGAGGTACCACGGGCCCAACTCCACCTTTGCCATGCACCCCTACACCTACCAGTGCTCGCGGCTCTCGGGCGCGCAGTGCGGCGCCTCCAGCACCATGGCCAGCTCCCACGCCTTGCGGACGCACGCCTACTGCGCCACCTACGAGTCCCTCTATGGGAACGCCTCGCCGGACTACAACAGCTCGGAGTACGACGGGCCGCTGAGCCCTCCTTTGTGCGTCAATGGGAATTTCTCCCTCAAGCAAGACTCTTCGCCGGACCACGAGAAAAACTACCATTATTCTATGCACTACTCCGCCCTCCCCAGTTCTCGCCCGTCCGGGCACAATTTGGTGTTCGGCTCGTCCGGAATGCGCGGTGGCGTCCACTCGGAGAACGTTTTGCCTTACGACATGCACCTCCACCACGATCGGGGCCCCATGTATGAGGAGCTCAATGCTTTTTTCCATAATTAACGCCTTTTTTTCTCTCTCCCCATCCACCTCCTCACCCTTTCCCACCCTGCAGCCTTGGGCGTCCCGATGCGCTTCTGGTTTTACACTGAGCACCTGTAGATTCCCCAACAGATTGGCTTGGAAAGGGGAGGGTATGATTGGAAACCCTAAAAACACAACGAAACAAACTCCTCGGCCTTCTCTGAGGTTGCCCCGCCGCCGCCGCCCCCCCTCTTTCCAAGACCTGCGACTTTTAATTCAATGGTGAGCCGCTTCCCCACCCCCACCCCTTCGGAACTGGAAGGAATAATGATGATGGTGGTGATAATGATGATGATAATCATAACCATATCTATTCCGATCCCTAAACTAGTTGAGCCGGGCGCCCTTGTGTTGAGGTTAACGGGGAGTAGCCGGATCCTTCAGCCACTTAGGCCGGAACAACGGGCTTCGGAATCTTTCGAAAGCCGTTTGCGTGCAGCAGCCTCCGCTGAGTTGGAAGCGGACGGCTCCGGCTCAAAGGGGAGGTCCGGGGAATCGAGAGAAGGGCCCTGCCCGGGATCCCATGCGGCTTCAAATGTGACTGGGTGTCGGGTTGCAGACTGGATCTGTGATCCCGTCCCTTTCCTTGCCCCCAAGTTAACGAAAAGAAATCTGGTGCAATATGTTCTCTAATGCAATTTTATACTTTAAAAGAAAACGGGGAAAAAATCAGACTATATAGTTAGACTGTTTAGCTGTGGTCTCGACCATAGGGAGGAAGGTTTTAAGATCCAAACTGGAAATGCTGTTAACACCAGTGTTCAAATGTATGGGGGAGGGAGGGCGTTGTCCCATCCTAATCGATTGCCTATATCCAACAATGCCTTATAGGTATTTAATCTATGACGTTCTTAAAGATCAGAATGGCTTTAGAACAAAATAATGAGTGAGATGCAGGGCACTGAGATGGTGGTTGGGCGGGGGGTGGGGAGGGGGAGGTTTTCCAACCTTCCAGCAACTGAATCAAGAATTCGCCGAGCATTTAATCTATTTAAGGACGTTTAAAGGGGGAAAAATGTTTGCAAACTTTAAGTCAGACTTTCAATGCAGTGAGAACTTTACAAAGCAATAAAGGGGCAAACAGATGATAAATATATTCTATCTTTATCTATGCAAGTAGGTACTGAAACTAGGAAAAAAAGTTTTTAAAAGGAAGGAAAAGAAAAAAAGGGGGAAACAATATCAAGGAAAGGAATCCATATGAAATATTAGAAATATGGACCAACAAACTCGATGAGGTTTTAAATCGTGCACTTTTTTGATTTGGGGGAAACGGACTATCGTTATGTTTCCCTGGTATTTAACAATCACGAACTTTTTGAACCACCCTTGTAACCCCAAGTAACTTATTTTCCAAAATTTGTCTGTCATGCTGTTTTTTACCTGTTTTAAAAACGTTAATTAAAAAAAGAGGGGAAAAAAGATTTTTATGAAATGGGCAAAAATGTTTTGTTATGCATGGATAGGAGGGGGAAACGCGAATATGCAAATTTTAAAGGTGATGTGAAGAGAACACTGATTATTCTGCTTAATACTTACGTTGGCTAGTTTTTTTTCCTCTCCCCCCGAAGTTAGTAGTAAATCTAAGTTCTTTCTTTCTGTAATGGGTTGGTGGGGGGAGGCATATATTTATGTATCAATACCCCGGTATATAAATCTCTGTATAAAAAAAAACACAACATCTTCTAAAGACTCAGACTGGTATATTTTCCCCCAACAGAGTAATGTTTCATTTCGTGTTCTTTTAATGACCTTCTTTTCAGCCAGGGGAAGATTTTAAAACATTGTCTCCGATTCCCCACCACTGCCTTCTTCTAATATGGCCTGCATCACCTTAGACATACCAGCATTTGTAAAATTCAAAGGAAAGGGGCATACATTCCTGGTCAATGTTTTTCAAACAAAAAAGAACTAATAATACTTTAGGGGGGAAAGAAAAGGAAAGGAAAGAAATAAGAAAAGTAAAATAAAAGTTGTAGCCAATATGAAATGTCTATTGGACACCAGAAGTGCTTTTTCGTGTGTTTCTGTTCTGTTTCCTTAAGATGAATAAATATTTATGTCAAATGATATGCTAAAGAAAAAAAGATTTCTCCAAGTCTTGTTTCAAATAAGGAGAGCTATTTTCTCAATTTTATTTATTTAGCTGTTTGCTTATTGGACACCCTCCCTGTTTGGTTGACCTGCCAAACTTTTATATTTTAGAGGAAGGTATTTGGTTAGAGGAGCAACCTTTCCCACTCTGCTCGTTTCTTAAATCTCCCTTTTTCTTAGAATACAGAAGAAATAATACTGTTAGAAAGTCAAACAGGTTTTATGAATGGAAGGTGTAGAACTGCTCCCTCCCCTCTCCATACCTTGGCATTTGCATTTTTTAGAACTAGGAAGAGGAGAGAAGGTTGGCCGGCAAACTTCCGAATTGTGTTTTAAATGCATGCCTTGGTTAGAGGCCGAAAAGGGAGGGTGTGTGAAGCCCTGGCATTCAATGGTATATTTTAAGCATTGATTTACAGATCTTCTGTGAAATGCTTTCCGAACACTTTTTGACGGGCAGAGAGCTGCGAGTCAGCTGTGATCTTATTCAAACTTGTAATGAAGGCGCGTCCTAAGACGACAATTAATAAATATTAGATGTTGACTCCCTCAGGTTTTTCTAGTTTACTTCAAACAAGGCGTGCTAAACATATAGAGGCGAGACCCCATTCTTTCATTTTGGCCAGACACATTTCAAAAGGGGGGGGAGGGGTGAAACCCGGAACAGATTAAAATGACTTCAAAGCATCCTTAGCTTGACAATAAGTCTTTGGAAGGCCTACTTAAAAATATATTAGATTGCTCTTACACATATTCACTCTCTCACTGACTTTCTCTTTTGCACAGACTCTTGTATTTAAAGGGGGGGTCTACTTCTCATTTTATAAAGACTAATGCAGTTCTCTTGTCTTGAACAGATGGCATTTTTCCTAGCATTTTCACTCACAAAGCCCATCCTACTTCTCTCTCTCTCTCTCTCTTTCTCTCTCTCTCTCTCGGGCACACACACGCATACATGCTGGTCCAGATCCCGTAGGCAAGCGAATATTGAAACTAAAGTCCCTCAGATGACATACTGAGGCGATATTTAGCAGCAGAGTAATAGATGAATAGGTTTGTGTGTGTTTGTGAAGTAGCTTGTTCCAATAAATTCCCTTCTTTTACTGTGGGACATCTAGTGAGGGAGGCAGCCAAATCAAAAGGAGACGTTTGGGAGCTGTCCCCAAGACTTGTGGTGCTGAAGCAGAAGCTCCAGTTAAGCCACTGGTCTTCAGTCATCCTTCTGCTCGAGAATCCTCAGAGCTGTTTAGCATCCATCAACGACCCTTCCAAGCGGGTTGCAGAATACAGAAGAGGGACGCCGGTCTACTTCCCTACAAGCAAAAGCGGAAGGCTGCACAGGCAAGACCGGATGATGTCAGAGTCAAAATACGTAACCTGGACAACTAAGGTCCTGACTTAAAGAAGTTATTGTTTGTTTCTGGGGTGTGTGCGTGCGCACTCAAGTTTACTTCAGGGTAGAACTGCCATTCTCATGGGCGTTCAGGGGGCGGGTTCAGTAATCTGACGTCGCCTTAGATTAATCACAAACTCCCTAATGTTCTCACGAAATCTTTGTCCTTCCAGGAGTTAAGTTCACGCCACCCAAACCTCTCCAGCTTTCCTCTCGCTTCAGGGAGAGAACAGCAATTGAAGGCTGTAGATCGTATGTGTGCTTTTAAAATAGCTAGCGGTTTTAAATGTGAAGATCTAGAGGCAGCACGGACACTGGTGCTCAACATTTATGGAGAATCCCCTGCCCGCCCGCCCTCTCTCACTGACCGTGGGTGAGAAGCACTACGGCGTGTTGTGATTTTTTTTTAAGTTGGCCTAATCAAGGTTTTACATTGTTATGGATTTTGGAATTTTCACTCTCTGATGATAGCCCCAAAGTTCATGAGTTTTTCCATTGGCTATTATCAGGAGAGGCTGTGCCCCGAGGAGAAGGCTTTAGAATGGAAACTTCATTGAGGTCCAGCTTTGTGCCTCCTTTGCCGACAGCCGGGACCAAACACGTGTGCTCAGATGTGTCGACACAAAACACGTGTGCTCAGATGTGTTGACCTCTTCGGCTTCTTCAGGGCTCTTCCCCACAACTCGTTTTCTTTCCAGCGCCTGTTGATGGTGTTTGTGTATCCACCTGATCTTTAAAAATCTCATGTTGGAAGGACTGTAACTTTCAAGTGGTGTACTACTGTCCTATGCAGAAGATTACATTGTGGGTACCTGCCATTGAATCTCCCTCTCCTTGTCACACAAACACTTTAATGCAAAGTGGAAATCCCACG